GGGGAGACTACGTGGAGGTCGACCTGACAGGGTATATTGCTAGCAATGGGACTGAAAGTCCGCATTATTAATAATCCCTTCACTCCGGCAGTTTAGAAGTTAGACACGTAATGTTATTGATTTTTACTCATGGTTGAAAATAAAATCCGCCTGAAATCGCAAGCGAAGTCGCTGGCAAAAGCTAGTTTAAGAATATATAAGGTATTTAAAAATATTTTTCAAATAAGAAGTTAATTCAATCTCAGTCAACTCAAATTCAGGAGTGTCACGTGCACATTGCCGACCCTGAAGAAACCTTAATATATATATATATATAATAATAATAAGTATTTTATAAGTACAGTGGCGGATTTGCAGTGTTGACCGTCCTAAGCCTTAATCCATTGGGGGGAAAATTGGAGACTAAGAATCCCATTGCTAGCAATATACCCAACCAGGTCGACCTCCTCACAGTCCCTGGAAACTATCATGATTTATTCCTGATGAATTCATCATGATGGGCTAACTGGCCTGTTTTCATTCTCATCTGTCACCCTTCACTGGTGCTCCGCCAGCGTATCCCGTTAGCGCAGGCGGGGTTACCATACCATTTTCACCGATCAAAAAAAAGCCTAAATCTATGTAGTTAAGTACCAGCCACCCCTTTCTCAGCACCCATCATATTGAGTACATAATGAATTTACTTTTTTGTCAACTTTTATCGAAATCGATTCATGAATTTAATTAACTATAATATTTGCTAGTTTGTAATATTTTCCAAGGTTTCTTTTAGTTATACTTACTTTGAGTTATTTCTTATTATCATCAGTGAATTTTTTTGTCACGACTGGCCGCCTTAGGCCCCGGCCTCCTGGGCCTTAAGGCAAATCCGCCACTGCATAAGTATATATAGCATAGTAATTAAGGCACTTAGCTTTACTATTCCGGGGTTAATGGGTAACTGCATAGCGCTCATAAACGTCCACCCCACACAGAGAGAATGAATAGTCGGCAATCAATAATCGGCCGGTCGTTTCCGCCGGTCAGCCGCTTCCCGCTTCCGTTTCCGGTCTTCCGGGGTACCAGATACTTGGCAGAGGGGAATTAATTCCTTTGTCTCGTTTTAAATACACGAACGATGCCTACGATTGATACAAGAATCATGATAATGCATCGTGAAATCTTAAGAAAGTATGTGGGATTTGTTTCCTTTGCCTATCCTGTAAAAGAATGAAGACAAAAAAAAGTTTAATATTATTTCCTAATATAGAGTACGTAGATACCTATGTTATTTAAGAGTCAGCGCTCCACTTATATTGACGAAACTGGTAAATTATTCTATGCAACTTTCTAAGTATCATTAATCAGTATAGATTTAAAAAGAGAAAAATAATATCCATAGATGTGAATTTATGAATATTTTTTTTGTTATTTTCATGTGTGGACGTGTAGAATTGGATTGAGACTTTAACCTGTGAAATGACAAAGAGAGGAAAAATGTAGATTCAAAAGAAAAAAAAATATTTAACTCGATGTCTACTTGCTACTGCTTATGTCTATAGGCGACGGTTACCACTTTCCGTCAAGTGCGCCGTCATCTCGTTTGCCATTCTAAGTTGCATAAAAAAACTTATTTAATTATTAAATTTATATTTAAAAAATGTGAGCCACTGAAAATTACTAATACGCACTAAGACACTCGAGGCCGGGGCACTAGCCGTTCGGACCCCGGTATAGAAGGAGCCATCCCTTCCTTTCCCATGAATGTCGTAAGAGATGATTAAAGGAGGACGAGGGATGGGCAGCAGCGTCCCTCTTAAAACATCTCTAAAAGCCTAACTGCGGTTGCCAACCCGTCTGCCAAGCGTGGCAACTACTGGTAAAATACCCTCTTATGGGGAAGATATCCAGCAGTGGACAGTTAACGGCTGAAATAATAATAATAATAACTAAAATAAAATTTGCATGCCTTTAAATAAGACGAAATATGTTTCTTTATTATTTTTTCTATATTTCAAGCAAATATTAACATAATAATTAAATTAAAGAGAAATAATAATATTAATATTGTTAATTCTCTTTTTTTTTTTAATAAAAATATGACCAATTAATTTTAATTTAAACCGTTAACATGTTAGTTACCACAGAAATGAACCCGTCAACGTACCACCATCAAGAAGTCACGAAAAACAAACGGGAAACTAGTATATTGTGAACTAACAAAGACGTTTCCCGCACACACTAATATAGAACGTTCTGTCTGTCTGTTAATTGTCCGTAGCAGCATCTAATTGAATTACACTCGGGAATGGGCACTGCCTACTGTCACTCGATAATAACTTGGGCAATCTCGCTTTTGTTTTATAAGGAGTTAAAAATGTCGGCTTGTTCTGTGTAACGCGTCAATGTTGGTACCTAATGCCTACATGTCACGTAGTCGGTCTTACTGCAACAAAGTTGAACTAGAGATAGACAAGCGTTAAATATATTTTTGGGCGTCGCACTACAAAAGCGTGTCTAACATTTATATTTAAACAAAAATGTCTTAACCTCTCAACTGTGTGAAATGCGCATCTGTGTCGCTCAGCGGACGCGACAGATGCTAAGCTAATATAGTCATATATACTGTTTTGTTTAAACTAGCTTGGCGACAAGCTTAAATTATTGTAAACAAACCACCTCTTGTCCCTAATGCCAAGAATGTACGTAAAATAATGAAATAGGAGACTCACTTAAGTGTCAATTGAAGAAGGATTTTTTTGGTCCATGTTTATAAACAAGTGCTGTATAAAAAAAATGTATTGATACATAAGCCATTTTATTTTTATTTTATCAAGTAGGTATATAATATTGTACAAAAAACATATAATTTTACATCCAGCAAGGTCTTAGTTTTTTAATAATTGAAAAATAAATGGTAATTTATAGGTGACCCCATTTTATTTCTCATAGAACAGTTGCAATGTAATTCAAGTCGAGTGTAGTGTAAGAAATTACATAAGGAATCTAGTTGAAATATAAATCTAATCTGAATTTTGTATAATTCCAATTAGATTTCTGGAAAAATCAGGTTTTTTAAACCTATACGCTAAAAATACCTAGTCTGTGTAAAGTCCGGTCACGGGACGCCACAGATGTGGATTTTCCACCATTTTGCATGACACAGTTGAAAGGTTATTAATTTTTTTTTTAAACTACGAAGGTAGCAAACAAGCATACAGCCCGTCTGATTGTAAACGGTCACTGTAATCTATGGACGCCTGCTATATTAGGGATGTCTCGTTCACGTTGCCAACCTTGAAAAAAGCTAATTAAACTCTTATTGAAAATTTTATTACTTTACTATATTTTACAGATTTTAACATATATAATTACAAATTATTACCTACACAAATTCGACAATGGTATAATCTAATATCTACAAGTGAATGTACAAACACATATAGATAAATAAATAAATGTCACCAGAGAGAGACTTTGTACCAAAGTCGATTGCTTGGGTACCTCTGCCCCATTCGTGTTTCAACCGTGAAGCAGTTGTGTTTGCATGGCTGTGTTTCAGTTTGAAGGGTGGGATATGGCGTGAAATTACTGGGTACAGAGGAGTAACACCTGAGTCCTCAGGAATGGCAACGCATGGGGGGTATCATGGGCGAAACAGTATACTTTGTTATGTCCATGCTACTGCTCATGTCTATAGGCGACGGTTACCACTTTCCATCAGGTGGGCCGTCAGCTTGTTTGCCATTCTAAGTTGTATAAAAAAAAACGTTTAATAATAACATTTTTTACTAGTTTTTTTCCGCTACTTCGTACGCGTGAAATTTTGAAATATTAATATCCACTAATAATATAGATGTCCAACTTAGTACCTACTTAGTCACCTAATGGTAATTCAATGGGAGGAAAGGGATTGTTAGTAATGGAGACTAAGAATCCCATTGCTAGCAATATACCCAACCAGGTCGACCTCCTCGTAGTTCCCCATGGAAACTATCATGGTTAATTCCTGATGAATACATCATGATGGGCTAACTGGCCTGTTTTCATTCTCATCTATCACCCTTCACTGGTGCTCCGCCAGCGTATCCCGTTAGCGCAGGCGGGGTTACCATACCATTTTCACCCATCAAAAAAAATGGTAATTCAACTACAATAAATGGATATAGGTACTAATAATAATATATATATATATATATATATATATATATATATATATATATATATATATATATATATATATATATATATATATATATATATATATATATATATATATATATATATATATAAAATAAATAATGACCAACTACCTAACTACAACAATAAATATAGGTTTTTAAATCTATTTAAATAGGTAGGTAGAGATACCTACCGCACAATATCGATCGGCGCGCGCTACCTCGCAATGTTAACCCGTAAACGCGACCGGTTAAAATAAATCAACATGCATTATTTTATATTAAATATTTATTTTAGTCTATAATATTATTATATACATATATAATATTTATGTTAAATAAGCACAGGTATTATGTATGCGATGTTTATTGCATTTTCAGTGTCAAATATAAATATACCAAAAGTAACATTTACAAGGCTAAATCGATATTTGTTTTACAACAAAACGAAACACTGGGCCCGCTAAAGATTAAACAAAAATCAAGTCGCGATTAATCAAAAACAAACCACCTAAAACACGAAAGATTAACATGACCAGATTAAAAAATAAAGTCAGAAAAAGGAGCTCACGGATCAAAACCATAAATCATGCTCATTATATTCGAACCGGATTATTTTTTACCGAAGAAAATGTTCAAAAAAGCATCAAAAGGCTATAGGGGAGCGCCATTTTGTAAGGGTACAGTCGATTAGGGCGGGAAAATGGGAAGCTGTTGGCCAACCAGCGGCGCTGTTTTGAAAAGGCGTTCTAAAAATCCACCAATAGCATCGCAGATTGGTCCACTCATGCGCTTTCGCGTCGATCCATAGAATTATAGATATAACACGGCAGTGTGGGCTTGGCCGTTGACGCGAGAGGACTTATGTCGCTCTATATTTTACATTTTTTTGTATAAAATGTCGAAGTGCCTACGGACCAATATTAGTGAAATTTTAGTCTAAATGAAAATTTTGGTGTATTCCTTTTGTGATAAAACAATAGTGTTACTAAAACAAACTCTTTTTAAGTGTTTTCATAGATAATGTCTGACCATAAAATACCAATATGTTAATGTGATATCAATGCTGTAAATATTATATTTTTTCCTGATTTTCTAATATCAAAACAAAACCAGTTACCTTAGTAAGCAATAAAACTAGATTCAAACTAAATCTGAATTTAAAATACATACCTAGTCACGGCCTAATTACTGTCAAAATTAGAAAAAAGAAATAAACAAACAGACCAGACGTTTCGCTTGTAAAGGCGTCGACATAACGTGATCATCGGTGAAGACATATCATCTTCAGTGATGGTGATGGCCAGCGGTGGCGGTGGTGGGCTGGTACAGTCCCCACCCGATATGATGCATCATCACAACATTATGGACACTTCATCACATGTCGAGATGATGCCCAGTGAGTATTCACACTTTTAACCTTTTGACCAACCTAATCGGATTCATTCCGGAATTATTTTCGTGTCCATATTGTGTCTGTCAAATTTATCTGACAGATAACCTGTCTTCGCATATTATTCAGATGCTTATACTATATTAAAACATTAAAATAAAATATATTTAAAATGTAAAACAAAGGTTTACAATATTTTAAAATTAATTACTTGTTAAAGTTAGAAATATTTAAAAAAATAGTAAGCAGTTACCAAGTGCTAGGGTCTCGGCAAGTGCTGTAAAAGCCATCGGTTAAAAGATTAACTATCAAATTTTACTACACTGACACCCGCATGATATAACTAGTCTACTTTTTTAAAACAACAACCAAGCATGTTTACCTATTAAGTAATTCAATTACTAAGTTAAATTAGATTTGCTATCAGTAATTTACCTCATACGGCAAACGAGGAAAAATTTATAATTATCAATCAAATAAAATTGTTGATACAAGTTGGTCGATATACAGTTTATCCATCTATATATTATGGAAGTCTTTTAAACAGAACATAAGAAAAACTTGTCTAGGTATTACTTATCTAAGTTTATTTTAATTGCTAAAAAATATTAACTACTTATATTTTCTATATCAATATTCGTTATTTAAACATACATACATACATATCTGTCACACCCGTCTCCCATTAGGGTAGGCAGAAGCAATAGAACGCCAAATGCTTCGATTCAAACAAACCTCTTTCGCTTCCTCCACATTCATCAATCTTTCAATTTGAACAATATATAAATATGTAAACAAAGTTCATTAAACTATATATAGCTTGGTAAATAGGATATTTAATAATGTCAAACAATATTTGTGGTTTTATATATTTAATATCGTGCGTCATATGTTGTGATATATCTACAGGGAAGGACCTATTTTTGTACAATAAGGTAAACAAGTATTTTAATATACATTTTTGTGGCTTTATTTTATTATTATTATTATTATAAAAATAATAAAGAGTTAAATATATTGTTTTTTTTTATACAACTTAGAATGGAAAACAAGCTGACGGCCCACCTGATGGAAAGTGGTAACCGTCGCCTATAGACATGAGCAGTACCATGGACATAACAGAGTATACTGTTTCACCCATGATACCCCGACTCAGGTGTTATTCCTCTGTACCCAGTAAATTCATATTGTATAATATCATTTATGTAGGCGTATTATTTTAATCTTATTTAGGAATAAATTTCAAGATATATATATACCTTTTCAATGATACATATTAAGAGAACTATAAACTTTCACATTAGGTCTGCCAATTCATCGTTAAATAATTAATAAATGCTTAATAAACGTAAAAATTTACTAGTAGCTAATTACTACATCATACAAAACAGAAAGAGAGAGAGAAAATAAGATAAATTAATAATCTAAGAAAAAGGATTATATTATTGTAAAAATGTCTTATTAGTCTAAAATCCATCTAATCCGCTCCAACTGTAACCAATAAATACAAAGTACGAATATAAGAAAGGGGAGCCGTTGATTGATTTATAAATCGCAGGGGCCGAAACTACCCGTGGGCATTATTTTTGCTAATGCAAGCGCGACCGACCATTAGAGGGTTAGATTCAAGATTTATTTGCACTGCAGCTCTTAGATTTAGTACAATAGCCTTATAGAATTAAATGCACTGTATAAATCTTTAACATTATTAGATATATATTTATTTAAAAAAATGCGAATTTTAACATAATAATTAAGATAGAATAATTATTACAATAATAAAAATAAAAAGTATTTTAAAATTAATTAAATTTATCGTGAAGTTTATTCTATACATATATTTTTTTCTATTTTTTTTTGTTTCTGTATGCAAACACTATAAAATAATTTATAAATTATTTGGCTTTTTTTTTTTTTATTAAAATGACATAATTATTGAAATAAAAACATTTTCCTCTTTAGAATGATGACCGTAGATAAAATGTTAATGACTTTTTTTTTATTTTTATAATTATACACTATGCAGGTACGTGACGTAGATGTATAAAAATGCATATACAAATAGATTTTTTTTTAAATTCCTTGTAAATACAATAAAAGTCTCTTAACAAATTAGTATTACATTTGCTTGAACTTTGTAGATATTTTCACTATCACATTTAAATAGTATATAATGTTAGTAGACATAGAAAATAAATAACTAATGTTATTTATTTATTAAACTGACACTTCCCTATGGTTGACTGGGAGAGAATGCTTTTAGCATTAAGTCCGCCATGTACACGTATATGTACTAACGAATAAATAAATAAATAAATATACAATATGAGTACATTCGACCCCGCACTAGCCGAACCTATATCGCGGGAGTTCAAAAAAGATTACCAAAACACAGTGTTTTACAAATATATCACAGATCAGTGAGCAAATTTTACTAAAACAAAAATGATACAGGAACATCGTTAACTGGGAGAAAGGGATTGTTAGTAATGGAGATCTCCCCAATATACCCAACCAGGTCGACCTCCTCGCGGTTCTCCCTGGAAACTATCATGGTTAATTCCCGATGAATTCATTATGATGGGCTAACTGGCCTATTTTCATTCTCATCTATCACCCTTCACTGGATGTTTATTTCCTTGGATAAACCAACATTACAGCCAAAATTAGTATAAAATAAAAAAAAAAAAAACACAACAACAATAGCAATAAAGAAAAAGAAAAAAAAAAAAATACAAAATCAGCAGAGAATCACGTAAATCCCAGTTCCTAATAGGAAAAACATACAGTGCCCCGAAACAAACAGAGCGTCCAATATTTTAGCGGCGAGAAGCCAGTTATTTGCTGTTTAGCGAACATTGCGAGGATGAATTTTATTGCGGGACCAACGCGCCGTGCGGATACGCTAAGTGTGTATGCAAATACATCGGCAGTTTAGGGTTAAACGGGTGGAGTAACAATTTCACTGTGAACATGCAGGCTAACTACGGTACTATTGTTTAGGATAATCTAGCCACTTTGACCTCGTTAAGACGAGCTAGGCTTAAAAGGATTGTTTTAAATCTATTATAGTATGCAGTTATTTTATCTGAGCGCTTTTTCGTAAGTAACAATTAAAAAAAAAAAAACATAAACAATCTTTTTTTGTGTAAATACTTTTTTGACATTTCGAATTTTTTTTTTTTTATTCAATTGAAAGTTTATTTCTGCCATTTTTGTACCAAGAAATTTTTAATTATATTACTTCAACAATCGGTGAAATTTAAATATGTAATCGTAACTTATACCTTTCTACTTAACTTACTTTCTTAGTATATTATAATTAATTTATAACTATTGTAATTTGTCTTGTAATTTTATATTCTGTTACCTTGTAATTGTTACTTTTTGGCTGATGGCTTTCGCCAAAGTTACAATAAATGAAAAAAAAAATAAAATTCTGCCATGGTGTGTTTTTAACAACTTAATTGTATTTTCACAAAAATTTAGTATTTATCTGCTTGAATAATAGAATTAATTATTTATATTCAGTATGTATACTGATAATATTACTTGATATGTATTTTAAAATTTAGATAATAGTAACAAATCCACAATAATAATCATGTACTTATACATATATATAATACTTATACATATATATAATATAATACATAATAAACACAAACACATTTTTATTCTAGCAATTTGTACATTGTATGTAAATGAATTTTAAATTCAATAAAATCGGACAGGCAAAGAGCAAGGCCTACACAGTCTAGTCTACAATTACACACACTTACATGCACAATTTAAGACAAATTTTATATACAAAAAATTTGTCTTCTTATAAATATGTAAGTAGAATGTGTTTTGACACACGACGTTCCATCTATCATGTAGTAATTCATCTGAGTAGTACCGTAGACTGTGGATGCATCAGCAGTTTGACATTACGCCATGATCAAATGTCACATTTCCCGCGCTTTATAGTGTTATCAACGCCCACACCAGAAAATAATATTTGTACACACAGACCGACACACAAATATTTATACAAGGCAAATTGGACTTAGATATTTGACCCGTGAGATTGTGGTCGCCATAACCTAGTTTCCATGGCTAACCATGGCAATGATAAATTTAAGTAACGTTTCGTTTAAGTGGCAAAATTTATTCTCAGATAGAATACTGTTAGCGGCAAACTACTTGACTAAATCATAGACAATGAAACTTGCGCAGTAAAAGTTTTACTACCGTAGATTAAGAATCGTTTTCTACGTAAAATTGTTATATTGCAAGCTGCATAGTATCTAAATCATATTTCGGACTCTCTGTATACTATTTGTCAGTAATTACCAAAATATTTACTCAGTACCCTATTGTATGGTTGCATTTTTTTATATCCCTGTATTAATTTGTGTAATGCTAATGCGTAAAGTAAGACTTGTCAAGAAGAATATAGGTAGGTCCCTATATAGAAAATTTAATTAACATTGGTATTGCCTGTGTATAGATTTTCAAGTTGGGCATTCAAAATACCGAAGCAAAATTTGAAGCATCCATATACGTGAAAAGTGAGTATAAATAAAAAAAAAATACGAAATTTGAACTTATAACAACCCGCATGAATTCAGCCACACTGACCAAACACACAAACAGACAGCCGAGCGTGTCAGGTACCCAGACCACCGTCATTTTATGGGGCTGCGAGCCCAGTAGCCACGGTTCGCACCTACCATCTAAACTAGCATTTAGATCCGCGCCACTGGTGTCGACACAAAAAATGGAGGGAAAAATGTTTTTTTTTTTTTTAATAGACTTAGGAACTCGTATTATAATCTACAGTTTAAACGATTTTTTACGAATAATGTTTTAATGTTACAACATTTATGAAGAATTTCCCTTGTATATTTAAATTGGCCAATAAAACACGTTTTGCTGCTCTCTGAACTATTTCCGAAAATGTCATGCCTTCGTACTTCGTACTACAAAAGGAATTTCACTGCTTTATTCATTGCCACATT